AATACTTTCAACAATAAAGATTTAAAAAAATAAAATAGATAACATAAATGTACAAAAGGGAAAAAAAATAAAGTAGTCCTTATAAAAAAGGTAAGAGTTGAGCATAAACTTGAAGGAGATAAGGACATTTGGTGGAATTACAGTGTTCTGGGAAGAGGAGCAACTAGAGCAAAGACCCCCACGCAGGAGCAAGTCTGGCATGTTTGGGGACATAGCCTAGAGCAGATAAAGAAGAATATTAGGGGATGAGATCAAATGGGTAATGTGCACAGATAATGAAGGACATTATGGGGCATTTTACTCTGAATAAAATGGGGAGCCATTGCGGGGTTTTGAATAAAAGGTAATGTTGTGTATCTTATGTTTTAAATGGATTCTTCTACCTATATGTTGAGAATACATCATAGTGGACAAGGCTAGAAATAGGGAGATCTTTTCAGATGTTATTGCCAATATTCAGACCATGAGTGATAGTGTCTCAGACTTGCATAGTGGAAATAAAGTGGTGAGACTTGGGATTTATTTTAAAGACAGACCTACTATTATCTTTTGACAAATGTGATATAGAATATGAGAGAATGATGGGGATCAATAATGACTTCAAGGATTTTGTTCTTTGAAACTAAGAATATGAAGTGTGGATTGGGAAGGCAATAGACTATACAAGTCAGGAGGTGATTGGGAGTTCAGTGTTTGATGTGTGGGATTTGGGATATTTATTAGACTTCCACATTGAGATGCTGAGTTTAGAAATAAGACTAAATTTAGGGAGAGAGATCTGAGTAGGAGATACCATTTGGGGAGCCATTGTCATACTGATGGTATGGAAAGCCATGAGATGGAATTAAGACACAAGAGAAAACGCTCAAAGACTAAGCCTTGGGAACTCCTGTATCAAAAGGGTAGAGATAAAAGACAAAGTAGCAGAAAATAAGAAAGAAGAAAATGAGCCAAATGATGAATAAAGCCAAGAGAATGTAATGTCCTAGAAACCAAGTGAAGAGAGTATATTAATTTTTCTCTTTAGTTTGTAAATTTTATGACAATGGTCATCATTTGAAGAACAAGCACACTGATCTCACCTGATAGGACAATGCTTGTCCTTTCCTCTTGACCAGTTACAGGGTTTCGAAGGCAGCAAGTGACATTCCTATGGGAGCTCTGTTTAAGGAGAAGGGTCATCTTCATGTGGAACAATTTGTCTGTGTCCTGTGAATGGGATATGGATGTAGGTGGAATGATCTCTCCTCTGCTGTCTCTCCATTCCATTTGAGGCTGTGGGAACCAACCTCCTGTATTACACTCCACCAAAAGACCTTTGGTATTAGGAGGATGTACAAGAATCTGTATTCCTAAGCTTGTAGCTGGTTGGAATGAAAGGGGATAAACAGGATTTTTAGGTGAAGAAATTGAGAAAAACAGAAAGAAAAGACTGCCCCCCCTCCCCCACTCTAATCCCTGTTCCATTAGCTATACTGACAGCCAAGCACTGTGGGGCTCTGATCCTCCACTACAAACAGGATAAACCAGGCCGAAGTTATGGTTTACAAATTAACAACTCAGGGGAGAAAATGCATGTTTGTTCCATTTATTAATTAAAAAATATTATTTTTGTTATTTACTAAACCTAGGAGACTTAGCAATAAATATAGATATAATCATGAACATAAACAGTCAAGATCTCAGTCCTCTTGAATTTATAGCTTAATGTTTTTTCTTGTATCTTCATCATTAGTCCTGTTTGAGCTGCCATCAGTTACAAGTAAACAAATAATATAAATGTGTTTAAAACTTTAATGACATTTTATATGTATTAGTATGTCTTTGCATGTAATGAGTATTTGCATAAAATGGGTAATCAACTACTATTATAGAAATAAAGCAATTTATATCAGTTTAGAGAAAATAACTAGTTTTTAAAAAAAAATTCAGTTTATTGCGTGGAATATCAGGCTTGCTTAAATGTACAGGCAAAGAAAGAATAATAGAGAATTAAAGCATTACTCTAGAGCAGCTCTGTTCAATAAGCTTCTGCAATGATGGAAATATTGGATATCAGTGCTGCCTGATACAATAGCTATTTGCTACATGAGACTATTAAGCACTTGAGATTTGGCCAGTGAGACTGAGAATTGATTTTTAATTTTACTTAACTTAAATATAAATTTAAATAGTCACATGCAGCTAAGGGTTGTCATTTGGATAGCTCAACTCTAAGCAATAGTACTGAGTGTCATAATCTCTCTATATAAAATCCTACTATGCAAATAGACCAAACAGCAGAAAAACCAACCAAACAACTGGTCGCTATGACAGGCGCTGACCACCAGGGGGTGCATACGAAACATGACAGACATTGGCAGCAGGTGGCAGAGCACAGAACATGGGGGGCATTGGCCAAGGCGAAATTGTGGAGTAGGTGAATGGGGGCGCCAGACCAAGGCGGGGCTCCAGTCACTGTCATCAGGACAAGCCTCTGGTGGTTACTGGAAATTCTTTGCTCCCATGTGCCACATTCCCGCCCAGCGCTCGCACATGCTTCTGGTGCCGGCCCCGCTTGCAACTGCTGCTGGCTCAGGAGCTGCCACTTGGACCCACTGCCGGTGCCAGCCCTGCTTGCACCCACAGCTGGCACCAGAAATGCTGCTCACACCCGCTGCTGGCACCCGATTACCCCTGAGGCCTTCTCCACCTCTTCCTGCTCCTGAGGGCATTCAGGGCAGCAGCTGCCACTCTCACCTGCTGATGGCACTGGCCCCACTCACACCCACTGCTGGGACTGGCCCTAATCGCTCCCATCAACCTGTGCAAGCGGGACCAGCACCATCAGCACATGGGAGTAGCAGTGGCAGGAGTGGGGCTGCCGGGAGACAGGGGGCCGGGGGCCACGGTGGAAAGGGCTGGGCGGGAAGACAGAGGATGGGCCGAGACCCACCTCTGTGCCCACCGCAGCCTTATGGTCCACAGTTCCTTATAAGGTGCACGAATCTGTGCACCATGCCCCTAGTATCCAATAAAAATGTTAAGTGTGAGGGGGCCTAGCACCCTACACTAGTGCCCTCACATTTGTGAAACCTTTTAGTTTCTTAGTCCTCCATCTCCCTACAATTTCTTTGTCATCCAAAATACTTCAAGGGTAAAGTGAATGATTTAAATACTATATTTTTGCATATAATACATATCTATATTTTTTTTTTTATCTATCTATCTATCTATCTATATGCCTAAGTGACCCAATGACTGAATGATGTCCACTGACCACCAGGGGGCAGACGCTCAACACAGGAGCTGCTCCCTGGTGGTCAGTGTGCTCCCACAGCAGGAGCACTGCTCAGCAGACCAATGGGTGCCAGACGTCCGGGTCATGACTGGCAAGTGCAGCTGCAGCGACGTGAGCCTCTCCCGCCTCTGTGGCAGCGCTACCAAGTGGTGGCTACCGTGTGGCAGCAGGCACAGTGGGGCCAGGATGAGTGTGATCAGCATGGTGTCCCCCCAGGCTCAGGCTTCTCCCAGGCCGCCTGCCACTTCACTCACTATTACATCCCTTGGGGGATGTCAGACTGTGGGGATCAGGCTGAAACTGGCAGTCTGACATTTACTGAGGGTCCCAGATTGTGAGAGGGCGCAGGCCAGGATGAGGGACCCCATCAGTGCACGAATACGTGAACCGGGCCTCTAGTATATATATGTGTGTAGATATATTTACACACATATATATAGTCCCAAAATTCACGCAAGATTTGAATTTTGCATGAGCATTAACAACAACAACAACAAAAATAAAAGCCTAATTTTACTTGGTTTATTGAATCAGATTCTAATATCTGTTGCCCTTTGATTTCAATCCCTTCAATTTGATAAGCATTACCAAGTACCAATTATGGCCCAGGAGCAGGGACAATGAAGACCAATGAAGAACACGGCTTTGCGTACATGCCAGCAAAGCCATGGAGGCCATTTACCCGATGTGCTATTCCATACATAACCCTATACTATATACTTTATGAATCATTAAAAAAAAATTACAATTTTTAATTATAAACCTATGTTTTCTATCAAAATTACTTCTTGTGTGAATTTTGGGAGTATATATATATATATGAGGATACTAAACATTGTAGATGAAGGCTTTTTGAAATCGATTTAAGAAAATTAGTCTGAAACTAAGTAGTCAGTGAACTGAGTCAGGGAGAAATGGGAATAAAAATTGTCATTAAGGAGACTATTATAAAGATTTAGGTAGTTTACAAAATCAGGTTTCACTAAAGTGTTGTCAGAAATAATTAAAAGCATAGTAATAAATCCTGAAAGAAATCTGTTGATACTTTACAGATCTAATAGTGTATATGGACATGGAAAGACAGTTCTGAAAATGGTAATGTGTGCAGGCACAATTTGCATTCTTAATCCTATACTATTCTCAGTTCCAAGACAAATGCTTGAATTTGAACTTGCTAACTGAACCATGCAATAGTCAGAAACACTGAGAATTTTCCTACTGTTCAGCCTCAAATGGGTTAAGAATCATGGATGTGTAGAAACCAAAAAGAGATTCATCCCTACCTGTGACCTTCACTTCTGTGATGGCTTCTTCATCGAAAGCACCATCTGTGAAGAAGCAGTGGTACTGCCCGTCGTCATCAACACTGACATTGAGGATTCTGAGGGTCACTTTACCTTCTCTGATAGCTTCTTTCAGGAGCTCTGTCCGCTCCACATACCTGGAGATAGTTTCTACATGCAGGTCTTTGCCATTGTTGTATACGTGAACAGGTTGTGTATAGCGATCCCGGAACCAGCGTATCTCCATGTGTTCTGCATTTTGTGGTGGGGACAGCTGGCAGGTGAGCTCAACTATTCCACGCAAAGGAGCCAAGATTGGCCCCTGTAAGCCAGTCACTGTAAACTGTTCTGGGAAGGAAGATGGTAAGCAAATAGTGAGAGTATCACACACACACACACACACACAAACACACACACACACACACACACACACACACACACACACACACACAACATTCCACATGTTTCAGTGAGATGTTAAAGGCAATTTTGCCACATTTTCATATTGTAAAAATATGCAAATATACACATTATATATTTCTGTTCTCAATAATTCCACATTAATTTCTAACTTGACTCTTAAGGATAATCTGAATTTCTTCCATTCTAAATATCAATGGCTTCTAAACACCCCTTACAAATGGGCAGAAGACCTGAGCAGACATTTCTCCAAAGAGGACATACATACAGCTGGCCAATAGACATATGAAAAAATGCTCAAAAGCACTAATCATCAGGGAAATCCAATTCCAAATCACAATGAGATATCAAACTTCACACCTTCAGAATGTCTATCATTAATAAATAAAAAATAAATGTTATTGAGAATGTAGAGAAAAGTGAACCCTTGTGCACTCTCGGTGGAATTGTAATTTGGTGTAGGCACCATGGAAAACAATGTGCAGTTTCCTCAAAAAGTTACAAATGGAGCTACCATATAACCCAGAAAATTCCACTTCTAGGTCTTTATCTGAAGAAATCCAAAACACTAATTTGAAAAATACAGGGTGGAGCAAAAGTAGGTTGACAGTTGTGAGTACATGAAACACAGAGTTTATTCTTGTATTATTATATTAGAGGCCCAGTGCATGAAATTTGTGCTGGGGTGGGGGGGGGCTGTCTCTCAGCCTGGCCTGCACCCTCTCCAATCTTGGACCCCTCGGGAGATGTCAGACTGCTGGTTTGACATCTGGCAGTCTGACATTCCTCTCACAATCCAGGACCACTGGCTCCTAACTGCTCGCCTGCCTGCCTGCCTGATTGCCCCTAACCACTTCTGCCTGCCAGCCTGATCACCCCCTAACTGCTTTCCTGCCGGCCTGATCACCCCCAACTGCCCTCCTCTGCCAGCCTGGTCCCCCCCACTGCCCTCCCCTGCAGGCCTGGTTGCCCCCAAGAGCCCTTCCCTGCCAGCCTGATTGCCCACAACTGCCCTCGCCTGTTGGCCATCTTGTGGGGGCCATCTTGTGACAACGTCTCATGAGGGTGTCGCACATGACACCACCTAGGCTTTTATTATACAGGATTAATTTCCATATGAACAACTGTAAACCTACTTTTCTCTACCCTGTATATGCATCCATATGTATATTGCAGCATTATTTACAATAGCTAAGATGGAAGTCACCTAAGTGTCCATTGATAGACTAAAGGATAAAAAGAGGTAATACATATATACAATGGAATAATATACAGCCATAAGAAAGAATGAACTCTTATACTTTGTGACAAAAATGGATGAACCTAGAGGGTATTATGACAAGTGAAATAAGCCAAAGACAGACATGATTTCACCCTCCGTGGAATCTAATAAATATAAATAAACAAACAGAAACAAACTCATAGATACAGAGAACAAATTGATGATCACCAGATGAGAGGTGGGTTGGGAGAATGGGTGTAAAGGCAGAAAGCAAATATGTACAAATTGCCAGTTATAAAATAATCACAGGAATGTCAAGTACAGCATAGGAAATATAGTCAAGAATATTATAATAACTATGTGCAAGATGGATACTAGACTTATTGGGATGATCATTTCAAAAGGGATATAAATATCTAATCACACCAGAAGCTACTATAACATTGTATGTCAACTGTAATTGGAAAATAAATTAATGTTTTAAAAATTAAAAAAGAAAAGACATGGGAGCACCTTAAAGGCACATTGCTAAGTAAAAGAGGCCCCTCTGAGAAGACTTACATTTTGATTCCAACTACATGACATTCTGAAAAATGCGAAAATATGCAGACAGTAGACAGAAGTGTTTGCCAGGGCTTCACAGGGAGAAAGAGATGAGTAGGTGGGGCATAAAGCATTTTTAAAATGGTAAAATAATTCTGTATGATACCATAATGGTGGATATGTAATATACTGGCGGTGGAAATGTATGCTGGTGACTACTTCAGAAGAACATTTGCAACATAATAAAATAGCACATAACCTTGGCCAGCAGTTCTATGCATAGGAATATTTCCTACCTATGTACTCACAGGTTTTGTCAAATGCATGTGTAAAATGTTCATGGAAGCGTTACTTTTATCAGCCAAAGACAGTATACAAAAAAAAGTGCACCAGTAAGATTTCTACTCTTTAACAAGTAATTTTTACTAGAAACTTTATCTTTTATGCCATTTGTTGTCTCAGGCGTTGCTTATATTTGTCTCTAAATAAGCTATATTTATTTCTGCTTTGCATAGATCCCCTTACAAAGGCAAATTTTACCACGTGTTGGCTCCCACAAACCTATTCCTTCCTCACTGGCTGCCCCACTGCACTGATAACTCACATGGATTCTAACATGGACCCATATCCTAGGCCACTTCCTCACTGTGTGAGTGACACATACACTGAGTCTCCTCAATATGAATATTGGGTTCTCAAGGGCAAGTATTAGGTCTTCTTCATTTGCTTCTTTTCCCAGGAATTTAACATAAATCCAGGTACATGATAAAGAAGACTTGCTGATTAGAAATAATTTTCCCCAGCCATAAGCTGGATCCTATAGTACACGTCCTCATTACATAATTATGTATTAAACCTGAGGAACAATGGTCAAAAGAGCTTAACCCTTTTCTTTGGTTCTTGCTTTTTCTGGCATACTTGATACTGCCAGGACTCACACAGGTAGAAGAGAGGGTCGTACCTGAACTTGGTGCTGCCATCTGAAGGAGGAGCATGGGAACAAAGTATCTGGTGAGAGATGGTCCTGTAGTTTCCATTACACCTGTGATAACAAGTGAGGAGGGTTCAGAAACAGCGATAACAGGAGTAAGAATTTCCAGAAATCACATGTTTTTTATGCATTAATAAACTTTCAAGTAGTGTTGCCAGAAGATGTTGTAAGAGTGCTGTATGAGTTCCAGTTATTTGAATATCAAATAAAGTTATGGATATAAGAATGCCCAAACCTGTAGAGAATTTTTATGAGTTTATGAGCCAAACTAAGACATATGTCTGGGTCATATGCTCAAATGATCTGGAGAATAACAGTTTTGCAGCTTTTTTTTATGTATTTGGAATTAAGGAGGGGACATAAGGAAGATTACATGAAGGTGGGCAAAAGCAAGGCAGGGCTAACTAGATTATGGGCTCTCTCGATGTTTGCAGTTTATTTAAAAAGTGTGTTAACCTAAATGCACAGAAACAATGTACAGAGCTTCCTTAGGGAAAAGACAAACCTTGTACTAGAAAGTTATATGCCTGGGGCATGATGACCCACCAATACTTGCCTAATTAGGAGTTTATGATCAGACACCTGTGTGAGGTTACTTTCAATAGAACCTCCCCTTTTTTGTCCACACAGTGAATAACTTTCTGGTATACATATTTCCCACTCAATATTTGGAATCCTGCAATATTTATTTGCTAGATCTGGAAACTCCAAATCTTTTAAAAATTTTATTGATTTTTAGAGGGAGGGAGGAAGGAAGGAAGAGAGAGAAGAAACATAGATGGTGACTGGTTGCATGACTAGGTGCCTGGGGAATAACATGCATAAGAATAACATTTTCTTTACTCCCAAACAAAGCAGACTCCAGAAATCCAGCCCAACATTTGTTGTGACATGATACTGCAGAGTGAGTTTCAAATGACCCACAAAGAAACAGTGAAAAAAGACTTTCCCTGGAGGAGACTGGGATCTCTGTTCATAGCATCTTTATATATATATATATATATATATATATCTGTCAAGTCCCTTGAAATGTAGGGACAGGTGGTCTCCCAGAAGGCACAAGGAAAAGGAAGGGATGGAAGAAGTGCTGACCATCTATGAACAGAGAACTCGATCCTAAATCTTACACTTACCTGTGATCCTGACGCAGCTCTCCATTGTCCCTGGAGAACGACAGTGCCAGAACCAGGCAGAGTACTTAACAAAGCTCCTTCTCACTGCTGCCCTCCACCTCTGGGCACCTGATGCTGCAGTGCTGTTCTTTGTTCCTTTCCAAGGGAAATTCCAGGGAGAC